CACACACACACACACACACACACACACACACACACACACACACACCTACCTTTTTGGTAGTTTAGAGAATACAGCCAATTCCTTCTTACCCTCCAAAGAGACTTAAAATACTATGATCCTTGGTTAATGCCTTAAAGTAGGAGCCCCCTTTCTATTCAAATGTACCAAATGCCTAACCATATCAAAAAAGAGAATAAAACCTCCTCCTTGGGTTATTCGTGTGTCTTGTCTCTGCCAGCAGAGCCGCCTGCTTGGGACTGGTCCCTGGCGAGAGTGAAGACCAGTCCACTCCAGGGAGGCGTGCGGGGAACTGAGCCCGGCCAGCCCCGGCAGGCTGGGTGCGCTCTGGGCGCAGAGTCCGCCCTTCTCTCTTGCGCGCCTCGCCTGGGGTCCCCGGGCGGAGTCACACCTCCAGCAGCCACAGACAGACCCTCGCCGGCCGAGTCCCGGCTCCCGGGGCATCTCCGAGCTGGGTGAGGTTTCTCCGCAGAGCCCTCACCCGCCCTCGGAGGCTCGGCGTCCTTCCGGAGGGACCCGACCTGAGCGGGTCCCAGTGTGGCACTGCAGGTACCGTAGCCTCCCCAGCCCCGGCGCGCCCGCAGCCTGTCCTGCCCACCTGAGGCTCCACATGTAGCTGTGCTTGTAGGGGAAGTAGCTGCCCGGCTCGCTGCAGCAGTACTTGAGGTCCGCGAAGCCGCAGCAGTAGAGGAGAGAGGCCGCCTCGCCGCGCTGGGGGCACTGGAAGGACTCCACGAAGCTGTGGTTGAGGCTGTAGTAACCAGAGCACACCCGGCTGGCCTCGCCCATCGCGGGAGAATGCGGGCAGGGCCACCCGAGGTCCCCGATCTGTCCGCGGACCGGACCAGTCCCGAGCTCCCAGCGCCCGCAGACCCCCTCCACCCGGGCTCCCCTCTTGCGATCTGGGGTCTGGTTGTCGGCGTTCAGCCTTCGCGCGCCTCCTCAGCTCTCTCTCCTCCCCCTGTCCACATGGTGTCTGGTCGCTTTGCTCGCCCATCTCCCTCTCGCTACTGAGTGGTTGGCCCTTTTATCTGCGGGTCTGCGACCCTGTACCTCTTCTCCCTCTCCCTTCGTCTGCTTTCTCCGCGCTCTCCTGACACCCCATTCACTTTCCCTCACTTCATCAACAGCCTGGGGACCGTAGGTGTCCCCACTCCGTGACAGAAAGCGATTTCGCCTGAGGGAAAAGTGGAGGTGTAGGACATGTCTGCCATGTGGCCAGATGCAACCGAAGTTACAGTTCTGTTTGCCCAAGGACAGGACAGGTGGGTTCCAGGCACACGGAGCAGGGCTGGGGAGCCGTCACCAGCCACCCACCCAAAGAGTGGGGCAGTGGACAGAGCAAAAGGAACTGAACTACCAATGACGGGGTGTTGAGACGTACCCCTTCTTCTTTGAGAAGCACACGTGAAACATTAAAATCTGCCAATGTAAAAAAATCAAAGACAAAACCCAAGATTTCCTCCAAAAACTAGGCATGCATTCCATGTTCAGTTAAACAGTCTGGAAAGGGGAGGAAAGGCAAGAGATGAGGCTAAGAAGGTGAGGACTTCGACAGAGGCAGACAGAAGGAGGAGGCAAAGGAAATGGGGAGAAGGAGACCTTCGTCAGTTTTCCAGTGCGGCAGAAAATTCTCCCCCCTTTTGCACTTGGTTTTCTCCTTTTCGTGATGCATTTGTTCACAAAGTCTTTTTAAATAACAATAGTAATGGAGGCTCGTTGCAATTAAGTCAATACTTTGGTGTGTAAAGGAGAAAATAATAAGAGCCTAGTGTTGGGAGGGAAGGCAACCCTGACATGCACAGAATTTCTGAGGTAGAGCGAGCTAGCTCCTGCCTCTCCTTTTTCTGCTTCCTTCGCCTTGGCTAGAGGGTTGATTGGATGTCAGATCACGAATTTTACCTTGTTGGTTGCGGGGGTTTTTGTGTTCCTATAAATATTCTTGAACTTTGTTCTGGGATGTAATTAAGATACTTGGAAACAGTTGGATTCTTTTAGGTTTGCGTTTAAGCTCTATTAGGCAGGACCAGAGCAGACGTGAAGACTAAGTTTTTCCTCACTACTGAGGTGATGATACCCTTCTGAGTACTCCGCCTGGTACCTTGTGAATCGTGAGACTCACCATTCTGATTGGTAGAAACAAACTATTCCAGGCCTTGTGAGAGCTTCAAGGAGTGTTCCCTCTGCTCCCTTTATGAGGCTCTTTTCCTGGCTTCCAGGGGTTACCTTATAGGAATGCACTGATCAGTACTCAACTGAAGATTCAAGGAGGTCTTCTAGTGATTTAGATCTCTCTCTCTCTCTCTCTCTCTCTCTCTCTCTCTCTCTCTCTCTCTCTCTCTCTC